CTGGGAGCCGGGGGGAGGGGCGCTCAGGTCCTGCCGAGCTGGGGCTTGTATCTTACCCCCTTCGCAAGGTGCTGGGTTCTTGCAGGTGTGGATGTGGTCTGGATGTTGTCCTGTGTCCTCTGGTCTCTATTTTAGGAAGAGTTTTCTTTGTTATATTTTCATAGATCTGTGTGTTTTGGGGAGGAGATTTCCACTGCTCTACTCACGCCACCATCGTGGCTCCGCCCTCAAATCAGTGACTTTAACACAACACATAGCGAACACTCACTGTAGTTATTATTAGAATGAATAACAGAATATTAACAAACAGGATATAGGAGGAATGTACCTTAACTTAATAAAGGTTATATATGACAAGTCCACAGCTAACATCATACGCAATGCTGAAAACTTTGCCTCTAAGATCAATTTACAAAGATTCCCACTCTCACCACCTTTATTTAACATAGCACTAGAAATCCTAGAAAAACTTGGCAAGAAAAAGATATATAAATAAACATCCAAAAGGAAAAGGAAAAAGTAAAACTATCTCCACATGTAGATAACATGGTATTATATATAGAAAACCCTAAAGACCCCACCAAAAAACTGTTAGAGCTAATACATTTAATAAGTTTCAGGATACGGAACCATGTTGCATTTCCATATATTAACAATGAACTATCAGAATGAGAAATTAAGAAAACAATCCCATTTATAATTGCATCACAAGGAATGAAAATACCAAGGGTACGTTAAACCAAGGAGGTGAAAGATCTCTATGTTGAAAATTATAAGACATTGCAAGTAATTGAAAAGATGTAAATAAATGGGAAGATATTCTGTGTTCATCAATTGAAAGAATTAATATTGTTAAAAATGACTATACTACCTAAACCAATCGACAGATTCAATGCAATCTCTGTTAAAATTCCAATGAGAAAGAACAAAGCCAGAGGCATCACACATACTGACTTGAAACTATGTTGCAAAGCCATAGTAACCAAAACAGTGTGGAATTGGCATAAAAAAAGATACATATATTGAAGTAGGAAGCCCAAGAAAAGGATGAAGATTTTTTTTTACCCAGGAAGGGATGGGGCTTCCCTGCATTGTGGCATTGTTAGGGTGTGGTATAGAGATGCCTGTGGTACCTCATCCTGGCTCTGTAACCAATTAACCACAAGATCAGGAAAAGTTATTTTCCTTTAACCTTATAGTAAAGGTATAAAAGAGATAGCCCCAATGCACTCAGAGCTCAGCCTTCGGATAGGAATCCGCTGAGCAGGGGCAGCACTAATAAACTCTGCTTCTCACCAAATGTCTCCGTGTCCTGACTCCTTGTTCATAGTTGCCGCGGTTCCTGCAACAATATCGATTGAACTGAATAGAAAGCCCGGAAATAAACCTATGCATATAGAGTCCATCAGTTTATTACAAAGGAGCCAAGAATATACAACAGGGAAAGGACAATCTCTTCAAAAAATGGTATTTGAAAAATTGGACAGCTACATGCAAGAGAATGAAACTGGACTCCTATCTTACACGATACACAAAACTCAAAATGGATTTAAGACTTGAATGTAAGACCTGAAACCATAGAACTTCTAGGAGAAACCAGAAGGTAAGTTCCTTGAAACTGGTTTTGGCAATGATTTTTTTGTGTTTGACATCAAAAGCAAAGTTATAAAAAGCAAAAATCAACAAGTGAGACTATGTTAAGTTAAAAAGCTGTGCAGCAAAAGTCAACAAAATCAAAAGTCAGCTTAAGGAATGGGAGAAGATATTTGCACAAGAGACAGAGTGGAGTGGGAGGAAAGAAGGAGGCAAAGAAAGAAGTAAGGGATTTCCAGGGAGCCCTGAAGTAACGCTCCTTGTGATCCTGCAAGCATTCATTACCCCCTCTACAGTCTCCCTACCTGCCCTGAGTCCAGCCGCTAGTGGACTGAGCTCTGTTTTACAGGGAAGTGTAGAAGAAATGCCCTGCTCAGCATTCTGTCCTGTGTACTGGGACATAAACCTCATTTTCACCAAATATCTGGGAATTCTGAAAGGTTCTTGCCACCTCTGATGTTTTGGAAAATCTATTTCAAATAATTTCCTAACCTGCTTTATTTATGAGGAATTGAAGCCTGATATTGCAAAATAGAAAAACAAAACAAGCAAACTTCTCCTTGGAACACTTTATGATCCTGCTACCTAGTTTATCCAAGTTAACAAATATCAGTTAAAAGCAAGAGGGGATGGGGAGGGTGGGTGGATGGGGATAAATGGACGCAAAAATTCTTAATTATAATGTAAGTTGGTCATAGGGATGGTAGTACAGCATGAGGAATATAACCAGTGATTCTGTAACATCTTCCCATGTTGACAGACAGTAGTTGCACTAGTGGAGGTGAGGATTTAATAATGTGGTAACTGTTGAACCACTGTGTTGTACACTTGAAACCAATCTAAGATTGTATATCAACTATACTTTAATTAAAAAAAAAGAGGGTAGGGAGTAAAGGATTATGTGTGAGATGAAAGGTCAAATCCTGAAGAGCCAACTCTGAAGTTAAAACTCTCCTTGCAAAATGGGTAAGAATGATTGGCATCTGGTAACAAGAACTAAATCCACTCCATCTTTTTCCTTGCAATATTTCTATGGGGTATAGATTTTTCTCATTTCAGGTGCCCAAAGCTGTGCTCTTCGTCCTAGAGAGTTATCTTTGTTCTTCCAGAATCTAAACCAGGTGACCCTTGAGTCCATTGAAGGGAGTGGAAAGGGGATGCCAGAAAGCTGAGGAATGCAATGTGAAATGTTCTTAGATCCCATCTGCCTCATTTACTCAGTGTGCACTCAGAAGAGAAGACTTCTTTTGAGACATTCTATACAGCTTCTGGGGGACAAACACATACATGTAAAGCCAAAATCAAGAGCTCCTTCTGGCAGTTTTAATTTATTCACATATTCGTTGTTAGTGGTCTAGTCAGATACTAAAGGAGTCACACTTGAAGGGTTTTGGCATCTCAGAAGTCCCTTGATAATTGGCCATCTCGTTTCAGCTTCTTCCTCCTGATGAGACAAAGGAACAGATTTCTCTGAAGAATTTGGGTCCTGACTGGAGTGGGTGTGTCCTAAATCCTGGTTGAACTTGTTAACTTCATCCTGGCCACATCCTGCCCTTGAAGCCATCCTGTGACTTGTGAAGAAGCCCCCAGGGTGGGCCCTGATGGAGGATCATCAGCAGGGACAGGGTGAGCCCGGTCAGGGTGTGGAGGCCTAAAGGGCTGCTCATTTCTATCTTTTCAAGAAATGGGCCTCTGTTATGAATGGCCTTTTCCTTCAAGGCCTTCAGGCTCAACACTGACCATTGTAGGGTGGTCCTTTCCATAAAAATGTCTTTCCTCCTGACAAAGACTGTCTTATTCTGTTCAGCTCTAAATTCCCCTCCTCAGGGTAGTCTCTGCTTAGTGTTAGGCCAATTTAGGAGACTGCCTCTGGCTAATCAAAATGTGAAATCTATGTATGATCTACTTGTTAGAAACAGTGGAGAGAGTAGAGGACACAGACCTGACCAGCGGGCTTTGTATCCTGACTCACCTCTCAGCAGAACAGCTTGGGGCAGGTTGTTGAAACTTTTTGTGCCTGTTTCCTTATCTTCAAAATGTGGAATGACAGGAGTGCCTATTTCATAAGGTTACTGTGGGAGGAAAATAAGTTAATTTGGGTAAAGTGTATAGAACTGAACAAGTAAGCACCAGAACTGATCAACTCTACATATTATATTCATGAAGAAGTCTGAGAAGTTAGTCCACTTCTGAAAGTGGTAGACGACTTTTTTAGAATCAATCTGATCTGAAGGAATTAAGCAAAAGAGGTAAAATAGGTGAGTCAAAGGGGAATTTAGGAATTGGGTGAAGGATATCTGAGCCTTTAGGGATGGCAGAATATCTAAGCCTTTAGGGAAAGCTCCAACAGTAGACCCATATAACTTCTCCCCCATCGTAACCACCAGTCACTTCTTGTGTCTGTAAGTCTACTGCTATTTTGTTCATTTTGTTTTGGTTTTGATATTCCACAAATAAGTGAAATCATATGGTATTTATCTTTCTCAATGTGGCTTATTTGACATAGGATAATATCCTCTAGGTCCATCCATGTTGTTGCAAATGGCAGGATTTCTTTTTTTTATGGCTGAATAATATTTGTTTGTGTATACGTGCTATCTCTTCTTTATCAATTCATCTATTATAGGACAATTTGGTTGCTTCCACTACTTGGCTATTGCAAATAATGCAGCAATAAACATAGGGGTGCATATATCTTTTCAAATCAGGGATTTTGTTTTCTTCTGGTAAATTCCCAGAAGTAGAGTTACTGGTCTCTATAGTATACAGATGAGTCTTGTTTATTTATCCATTCTGCCACTCTTTGTCTTTTGATTGCTGCATTCAGTCCATTTACATTTGAGATAATTATAAGTAGGTATGTATTTGTCATTTTATTAATTATTTTCTGTTGTTTTTCTTTCTTTTCTGTTCCATTCTTCCTCTCTTACACTCTTATTTGATGGCTTTGTTTAGTGTTATATTTGGATTTCTTTTTTTTTTAAATTTTTTATGTATCTACTATAGTCTATAGGTTTGTGGTTACCATAAAGTTCAGGAAGAGTTTGATAAATAAATAAAAGTCTATATTAAGTTGATGATCACTCTATTTCTAACACAATCTAAAATCACTTATTTTTTATTCTTCTTCCTTCACACTTTATGTATTAGATTTTATAATCTGCATTTTTCGTGTATCCATTGACTGATTTTATGTATAGCTTGTTTTACTACTTCTGTTTTGTGTTGTTTTAATTTCCTATTTGCTCAGTAAGTAATTCTACTACTACCTTTCCTGTGGGTTTCACTGGTGAAAAATATTTAGACATAAGAACATTTCTATTTACAGAAGTTCCTTTAACATTCTGTAATGCTGGTTTAGTGGTGGTAAATCCCTTTAAGCTTTTTTTATCTGGGAGATTTTTGAATTTCCCAGTTTTGAATGATAATCTTGCTGGGTATAGGATTCTTGGTTGAAGATCCTTGGTTGAAGGTCTTGGTTGAAAGTCCTCCATTAAATGTTTCATGCCACTCCCTTCTGGCCTGTAAATTTTCTGTGGAGAAGTCTGTTGATAGCCTGATAGCGTTTTCCCTTATAAGTTTTTTTCCTCTGGTTGCTTTCAATACCCTCTATTTATCCTTAATCTTTGTCATTTTAATTATTATATGTCTTTGGTGTTGTCTTCCTGGGATTCTTTTTGTTAGTTCTCTGTGCTTCCAGAACCTAAGTGTTTATTTCCTTTCCCAGATTGAGTAAGTTTTCAGCAATTATTTAAGAGACTTTCTACTCCTTTGTTTCTCTTCTTCTCCTGGTACCCCTATTATGCAAATAGTTTTTTCATCTTGGAGTTATTACACAGCTCTGTTAGCATCTTCTAATGTCTAGAGATTCTTTTTTCTCCTTAAGTCTGTTGTATTCCTGTTCTCAAATTTCCATCTCATTGATTATACCCTCTAATTGCAGCAATCTATTTTATCCATTAGCTCCACTGTATTTTTCATTTCAGCTACTGGATTCTTTAGCTGCATATCTTTTTTAACTCTTGTATCTCTTTGTTGAAGTCCTCCCTGAGATCCTCAATACTTTTCTGCTAATCAGTGAGCATATTTATGACTGTTACTTTGAAATCTTTATCAAGAAGAATAGTGATCTCTGTTTCATTTAGCTCTCTTTCTGGTGTCTTACTCTGTACATTTGTTTGGAACATATTCCTCTGCCTTCTAATTTTGTGAAGGTTTTTGTGTTTCTTCCTTTGTATTAGATGGATCTGCTATGCTTCCTGGTACAGAGAGTATGGCTTTATGAAGAAGGTGTCCTGTCATGCCCAGAAGCTCAAGACTCTTTCTTCTCCAGTGCCTGGTTCTCCTTTGCAGTGGAGCCCCAGGTGCTGTTGGTGGGCTGTAGGTGGGGCTGGCTTTCTGTCTGGCAGGGTTCCTGAGTGCCTCTCCTCTCCTCTCCCCTTCCTGTTCCTCTTCCTCCTGATGGTGGGCTTGGATGGGGGAAGGGCTGGGTCCCAGTCGGTCATATCTCTGCCACTTTATCCTACTCTGTATGTCCTTCTCTTCTCCACCAGGTACAGATGTTCCTGCGTCTTCAGGTCATTGTCAGGGTGAGTTATATTCGCTGTAGTTGCTTCCGTGGTGTGTGTGTGGGAGGAGGTTCCCACCTGGCCTTCTTAATCCATCTTCTTTTTTTCCCTCTAATCCAACAATATTATTTTTGATATCAAATGACTAGACACTGAACTGAAAAATTTATTCACAAATGTTTTTTATGCCAGGAATTATTGTAGCACTGGATAGCATAAATAAATAAATAACTATGGTTTTGTGAGACTTATATCCTGTTGGGGGAAGAACACAAAACTTAAAAAAAATACAATCAAATAAAATGTATCATATGTCAGATGACGGTAAGTGCTATGGAAAAAATTAACACAGGAGTAAGATCAGGAGTGCTGAGAGAGGAGCGATTTCTATTCAGTGCAGGCTGGTGGTCAGGGAAGCTTCCTGGATATGCTGCTTCTCCTAAGGGGCTGGGAGAGCTGGGCTAGGTTGTCAGACTTAGGAAAAAAATACAGGGTGTCTAGTTAAATTCCACCAAATAGCCTGTATTTTATCTGGCAACCATGGCTGGGGATGAGGAATTTTTCTTTTGGGATAAAGGGTAAATGAATTTAATGATAAAATCTGATGGGAAGGGGTATTATGGTATGTGGAAGGGAGATCTCAGAGCTGTTTGCTCTGCTGGTGGGGCCTAGGCTCGGCTTTCTTATTTTGAGGACTTGAGGTTTTGAGGTTTCTCTAGTTCCAGAGTGGGTGGGAAGTGGAACAATCAGAGCTCTATGGCTTCCTCTTAACTCATTGAAAGATAGAGCCAGATTAGGTGAACGTGAGAGCAGTGGGTTTTGTCAATTTTGTTCATTTTTGAAAGTTCAGATTCTACAACAGTGCCAGGTACATAATAAGGACTCAGTAAATATGAATAAGAATAATGGATAAGGATTTGTACATTATGAGGTATTCTTAAAGTCAAAAATTGATTTTTGTTATATCATTTTGAAACAATACTTATTTGTATGCTTTTGCCCCAAGTAAGTGTGTTAGAGATGTTTTCTTATAGATGATGAAAAAATATATGCCACAGTGGTTCAGAGAATAGGCCTTACTTCACATTTTGTAGCTGTGACTTTCCCTTATTTTTGTACTTGAGTTGCTTCCTCTATAAATAAAGTGCTAATACTGATATACAAGTGGCTCCTTTCTCATCAGATTTTGAAATAAGTTGATATATGAAGCATTTAGATCAGTGCCTGTCACAAACAAGACACTAAAAGGTTAGCTATTAATATTATAGTGATATTATCCCTAATATGTCTTCTATTATACCCAGTATAATATTTAGCACATTGAATTTGTGATATATAATGATTACTGCATGAGTATATAATGTTTATATATGAGAAAAAAATTTAAACAACTTAAACATTGTAGAGTGCTTTCAAAGATGTTGTAAAAAGTATAATGATTAGAAATATAACTAGTTGACTAGTCTAATCATCAACACCTTAGAGGGAGAATAGGTTGAGTACTTACAAAGATGAATTCATCATCGACCTAACTCAAGCTAGAGAACAAACAAAATTTATATGAGAAGGAGACATCACTTTCCCTTTATAATTGTGGGTCACGTCCACCTCGGCAATTTCAGGGCCTTTGATGAGCTTTTGTTATCAGGGATCCAAAGAAATTACAACTGAAAGTGGGTAGAGGCGTGGCTTGTCAAGAGGTATGTTTGCACGTTTTTCCCTTCCACCTGTGCCCACACACAAAGTATATCGCAGAGGTAACTGACGTCATCCTTCATCCACCACAATTTGGCTTTCTCTCCTTCATCCTAGCAAATCCACTTTGGGTAAATGTATGGATATTTTCCTAATAGTCAAACCCAGGGATTCCTTCTCAGCAATCTTCCAGATTCTCTAAAATGTTGCTAGTATGCTTTTCTTTGTGACACTTACTATATCCTGAGAATCTGAAACACTCTCCCAGCCCCCACCCACTGTCTCCTCTGCTCCTCTCTCCCCTCTTCTCTGTAGTGGCTCCTATTTGTTTGCATCTGTGTTAAGTTTTTATGGTTCCTGGGGTTCTATATTTAGACCTCTCTTCCTGTGGGGAAGTTGGGGTTCCTATGGCCAGGATCCTCACTGAATTTAAACTACCTGATGATGTAACTGGCCTGTTGCTGGGCTGCTGCTTCCACACCTGGAGGCAATAACCTATTATTGTGCTGTGCAGAGCTCCGCCGGTGCTCTGGGTGGAGGCAGAGACTCTAGTGCTCGACCTGCCGCCGGGAGAACAAACCAGATAATGAACCCTTTCACCCCAAAGAACGTTTTGCTGTCAATTTCTTTGGTCTCATTGAATCCATAGCGAACGTGCCCGGGGCTGAAACCCACTGGCAAGACACTTCCAATAATTCTGAGTTCACCTGTGTTTTACAGTATCATATGTTGACTAGTGTAGTAGGCTGAATAATGGTCTCAGAAAATATCAGGTCTTACTTCTTGGAACCTGCGATGTTACTTTATTT